TAAGAGGCTTGTTACCAGAGGATGGGTGCAAGATGTGGGAAAACACATCCCTGGCCAATATTGTCATATCAGTTTTATATTTCATCTTTCTGCAATCTTTTTGGGAAACCGTGCCTTCCATTTTGCACTCTTACCCCCTCCAGTATATAAATTCATATTTGATTTGTGTGAAACATCAAAAACAAATAAAAGAGCCGCCCTCTACATTAGTCGAATCTGGTTTCAGATATGTATTTCACATATTTTTTTTTTGCTGATATTACTACGATGCATTTATACAATGACAGAAAAATATCACAGCATGGACATCCTTTGATATCAACATTTCTTTTTCACAAGCCAATTTTTTAACCTCCCATTGGGTCCTATGTTAAATCTACCTCTTACATATGAATATATCCAAATGAACACTTTCTTATGCAGTTATAAGAGTGTTCATCTTAGAAAGGGGTAACTGTACAAAATGTAATTGAATTGTTTTAATGTATTAATGTAATTGTAGTGTAATTGTCATGTTGTTCCAATATGATACAATTATCATTTGAAAAATATAATTCAAATCCAAGTAAATTGACTTGATCATGATACTTAATTTTACTTAAACAGCATATCACAGTTCTCAATGTAGTTTTGTTGTTTAACACATATATGGTAGGAGGGGGGGGGGGGCGTACTTTGATCAATGGACAAAATTAATGTTAATCTTTATTTGATCATAGTAAAAATAGCCCAATATGCTAATAGGCCAAGCATACACTTTCTTAAAGCCATTACTTTGAATAAATAAGTTTAATACCTTGGATTCAAGAATTGAAAGGATAAAGGTTTATCTTGAAACCCTGAATACTACAAACATGCCTCAGCCAATGCATTATTTTCCAAGGAAAAGACCATTGATCCAATAGAAGATTCAAACCAATTTCCTTAGTTCAAGATGAAGGGCAAATCTTCTTGAAGCATCTAAAGGTCTTGAGGTCTCGACTACTATTCATGTTTACTGTACCATAACAAATAAGCAATTTTACCTGGATCATTATCATAGTGGGACAAGCTGCCAGTTTATACGATTTTGTATTTCTATGCTTGATGTAATATTTCTATATTTAATTGAAGAATAAAAAAGTACATGCCCAAATGCATCTAGAGGCTCTTGATCTAGGTATACACACTTGCTTGTTTCCTAGGTTAAGAGAACTAAACAGATTTCTGGGCTAAATGACAAAGTAGGGAATTAAGAAAATGGTTTTGAGATGAGTGCATGGCAACTGTTTCAAAAATAACTTACAAATCTTTTTTCGTCCATATGTTAGATGATGTTACGTGTTTATCCAAACAAAATATCCTGCATCCTTTCGATATAGTCATTCTGAATTATCTTGGGTATTTCTTGTAGATTGTAGATCAATCTATTTTCATCTTGAGGTCTTGTGACCTTATAAATGCCTCTCTGAATCACATGCTGGTAAAAATACACATTGCCAAAAATGATGAAAATTCACAAAGAATTAATCACTGATTTCTGCTGCAAATGTGTATGGATTCTAAAATGGCTTCATCTATGGCTTCCCTGAATGTACCCCCAAGTGATAATTGTCTACTGGTTCTCCAAAAACTTTCATAAGTGTTCTAATCAGTAGATTATTTAAGGTGAAAATCAATGTTGACAAAAATCATGTGACCCGATTTTGAGTCACGAGTTACTACTGTTTTATAATGACTGTTTTCTCCGAATTCTGAAGTAAAGTGAGGATAAATCCCACATAATACAATAGCGATGTATTAATGGATCTTCTTACCTTGTATTTGTTTCCGTAGAAGTCCATGCAGCCATGGAATTTCGACGTTTCTTCTTAAAAAGTCTGGATAGTAAAGCCATTTTGTTTTCATCTCCATTGGAACTCACACCACAGTTTCGTCTACGCACGGTCACATGACCTGAGTTAAATGAGGACAAATATTCCCGCCCTTTTCACCTTCAGTCATGTGAGATTTCGTTGAATCAACAAATTCACGAGACATATTTTTATTTATTCATTTATCCTGTTTTAGTGCTTTATGTTGATTTCAGTAGCTTCGTCAGAAATGGCTGGATGTTTGGATGAGCTACCTGTTATTTTATAGATGGCGCTTTCCAAACTGCGGGAAATTTCAAAAGTAGTGTTGCCTCAAGATCATGGACTATCTATTTGACTATACACAAGTCAACCAGTCGTTAGAGTATATGGCCCACGCTATTGAAGCAAGACTATTTCAACAAATGTCCTGGCATCTTTTTCTGTTGTATGATTACATGGGCTCTACCACCTGATAGAGCCCATGATGATTAGAAGAGATTCAAAGTTGGGGCCATTTCTTTTTAAGAGCCCAATACTGTGTTTTGAGGTTCTGTCCATTGCTCATACGCAATAAATGTCCATATTTCATTTTCATAGTGTTGTGCGCTCGCGGTGGTTGTTTTTCTTGGGAATATTAACAATCATGGTAAGAATGACGGTAGTTTAGAGAATACAACACCAAGAAAATGCATGCTGGTGGCTCCCAGAGGGTATACACATTTTCACCAAGTGCTTTTTTCATCTCCAATCAAATTGCAGGATTCGATCACGTGAACAATCATGGGCACATGCTCTCTCAGTGCTGCCCATGCGCAGAGTTAAATTTGAAATCGTGGGAATGGCGTTTACATCAGTTCAACATCGTCATTTCAAACCTACGGTAATACTATTGGATATTTTAACACAGAAACGAATGGATCAGCCAATAGCGTGAGTTTCAGCAAACCATACACCCATATCTATATGCTTTTCAAGAGAAGAAAATGGGGATCTCGCAAAATGTATGTCCAAACTGATTCAGTCAATTAAATGGTCACTGTGTGTGTGTTCATTTTGTTTTTCTGCCTAGATTTGAATATATTACCATTAAATGATATATACACTGAACCTCTAGAACCTGCTAAGTGAAACACCTCTTGAAGCGTAACACCTTACAAGTGGAACCGTTTTTTAAGTTCCATTTTAGTCCATTTATTTTACGCCTCTGATCCCAAGGTATGAGAACTATACACCTTGGCATCCAAGATGATTGTCGAATTGTAATGTAATTGTAATTGTAATAAAATATAAAATCTGAATTATACATTATCTATTTCATTGGGGAGTTAAATCATTCTTTTGCAGCAAGGTATCAATAAGTAATGTAATGACGTAATAACCTTCAGTAGATGCCAGTAGTTAGTTCCCAGTTTCACCACGAGGTGGCTAACTTGGGTCATATATAAATGACAGGTATAAGGGAAGACTCCTCTAAGGTTCAATATTCAGTAGATTTATTGATCAATTTTCAACTAAGGTCTATAAGTGATTAGCTTGAGAATTTTAGAGTTGTATGTAATCGAATGCAAAATAAACGACCAGTGAGCGTTTTTAGAGAAACTCTACAAAATGTGAAATAAATACCATGCTATTATCTCTAATGACAGAGTTATGTGGATCGATGGGACCGAGTAAAAGTTCCAGTTTAGGCTTTGCTCAGAGGGGTATCATCTCAGATTAACTGGTGGACACTATTGGAGAATGAGAGTCTACTGTAATTTCAGAATCATTTATTGTCATTTCATTACTAATTGATATTCTCGTTCTATTGCAATTTCATTGGTAATTTTATTTGATTTTGTAGCAGTTGTTGAATCAGAGATTCTGGATGATTTCATTCGATTATTGTCAATCACTGAAATTGTCATGAATTCATCACTTTCTACAAGTATGTGTTTATTTATTGATTTCACTTCATTTGGTATTATTCCAGAGAAATTTCTTGTTATCATTCTAGATTTGCCTCTATTTTCAGTAATCTTTCTCATCTTCATCTCTTCTTCTTCATGATGTTCTACAAGGTGGTTTATAATGATTTGAAATTTAGGAGTTCGTAATGAAGGACAGTAAAATCATGTAAACCCAACCACTCTGAAATGCAAAGAACATATCATTAGAATCCACATGGTAAAATCACCCACTTGGCTGATCATAAATTGTTTTCATAACATCCTTCTTACTCGATACTGAAGGGGAGTTGGAACGTCTGATATGCATGTAATGTTAAGTATTATGTATATTAACCATAAGCATGTTGGTTTTGTGGTTTTGGTAATCTAAAAACAGAAAATTTGGTGAAATATACATTTTCATTCGGCGGTTTTTTTTTATTTTGCTTCATTTATTAACTCAGTTCAGGTATTTCGGTTGAACCAATCACCGAATCCTGTTACCAAATGAATCTTGAGTCTCTTATACAGCATATGGAATACCATCTGTAGGTAAAATGTCATTAAGGTGGTAAAGAAAAGAGAAACAAACATACCTTTCCTCCGACATTTCGAATTTTCCGCATCTTGTCGAGTCTTTGATCACGCACTTTTAATAGTAGGCGATCACTGTACATACAGTGAGGTGACACACTGTTATGGGAACTGGTCATATCAGATGTTCCCACGCTTTTCGTCCAGAAGAGGTCATTTCCCAGGATTATAGATGAACCCTTGGCCAATCAATGATATAGTTCACATAAGAGAAGTATGACTGTATGAATTCTGGGATATTCCTGTTTTGTTGAGACAGGTGAGAATAAAATTAACCCTTTGCAAATTTGATCAATACTGCCTCCAATCATCCAATACTTGGCTCAGTTAAAATAGTTGATTTATATTTGAATTCGATAATAACATTTAAAAATTAAATGTGTAGTAGTAATACTTTAGTACCTCTTATTAATTAATGTATATTACAACATACATAATGATGTAGGCAATTTGTTTCATAAAAATCTAAAAGTAAAATTCATAATTTAAATTTACCCTCTGGGAGCCCCAAAATTTTAGAAAATGCATTTTCTTGGTGATGTATTTTCTAAACTACCAAGAATGACAGGTGTTTGAAAGTTTTAAATATCCCGCCATTGCCATATTTGGATCCTCAATTTTGATTGGTTACTGATTGGACTAATTTCAAGATGGCGATTGTGGACTAAAAAAATATTTGATCTACAAGCATATCAAGTAAGTAGGGGTGAATTATGCATACTATATGTAATTAAACTATGATATATAGATGTATAATTAAGTGGTCGATCCGAAGACGAACTTTCAAGTGGATCGCTGCATCAAGAGTTATAAAATTAACAGAAACGTGGGAATTTCGGAAAAAGTATTTTGATTTTTCTGACCAGTCCAATGTGATACTGAAGGCCCACCTTATTTTGGGAATCTAATACGTATCACGAGCTAAAGATCATGTTCATTTATTTGTAATGAAAAGACTGCAATTATTCTAGTCTGGGCTATTATAAACTCATTCTGTAGTCTTTTTTATACAAAAATACAAGTGCAACATACAGAGAACTTCCATGTAGAAGGAAAAAGAGCTCAAAAGGAACTTGTCGTCTCAATTGGGCCTGTATTGATTTGGTGAATCCTATCATTGTTAATGTGTAATTCCAAAATGAAGATCTAGGTTTGTTTTCATCTTGGTATAGGTGCAGGAAGTACTTCATGTTACTGTACATGTACAGTACTGTACATAGAAATTTAAAAGAAACCAATATGCCTCTCTTGTTTCTCGATGTCATCTTCATATGTTTAAAGTTTGGTATCAGATCATGGTTTTTAGTTTTTACCTGTCCATATATTATGGTTATATTTTGCAGCCTTAGAGAACGAGCCTATCAGTCAGTCTCCCGTGCCTGATGAAATCTGGTTGGAAGCATCACTCAACTTCAGTTTCTCAAAATATGTACATAATTCATTCTTAAAAATAAGGCAGATAAACAAAGTCAACTGATTAAAGTTTGATCAAAATACATCGTCAGAAATTATCAAATTAATACTTGAAATAAAGTTAGGTTTGAGCTAGGTTGTCATACTAGCACCTCAGGGAAATATAAGGTAGTGTTTTTATGTCCCGAGTTATAGTGTTGTCGCTATTAATCGATACATCGCGATATACATCGCCAAAGCTGATTCTGGCAATGCAGCAATGTCTGAAACAAAAAATCGATGTTTTAAAAAAAATTAGATTTGCTAAAAATCACCTTTTCATATGTCATTTTGACGCAAATTTCTTACCTTTCTCATGTCTTAGTTCATTTTCCAATGTTCTCTGATATTCTTTCGCTTTAAAACTCTTTTAGCTTGTCAAAATGAACTTGATCTAAAAAAATTTACTTTAATTTCACTTCACTGTTACAAGAAGTACCCGGATGTACCATAGTACTATTATTTGTTTGTTACATTCGGTATTTTAGTGCATTAGTGTTCGGTATTTCAGTGCACTTCTCTCTGACTTTTTCTCGATGTACATCGCGATGTGTATCAATGTTTACTCCTGAAAATTGGTGATGCATCGATATACTATTATGGCACATCGCGACAACACTACCAAGTTATAGGAGAGAAATGAATGAAACTCATAGAATCAGAGTGCAGGGTAGTACTCTTAGAGTATAAGAGATGATTGAATGAAACTTGTAGAATCAAGAGTGTGGGGTAATACTCTAGAGTATAAGAGAGGAACAAGAGCAACTTGTGGAATCAGTGTACAGGCAGTGTTTTCAATGGGTTTGACCACGATTGTGTCCCTGGGACATATTGATTTTCAAAAAGTGTGTCCCCCTCAAAAAAGTGTGTCCCTTGAAAAGAAGTTCCTGGGAATTCAAGGTCACATTTTTACGCTCGATGAAATAAATTGATGAAAGTTTGTTTCTTTTTTGTTATTTATCACCTATTTATCACCTTTTTGCATATGATTTGCACTGCATCTGTAGGACATATTGATTTTTGCATATGATTTGCACTGCGTCTGCAGGACGTATTGATTTTTGCATATGATTTGCACTGCATCTGCAGAACGTATTGATTTTTGCATATGATTTGCATTGCATCTGCAGGACGTATTGATTTTTGCATATGATTTGCACTGCGTCTGCAGGATGTATTGATTTTCTGTTTCTGCATCCATCAATTTTTTGCGCATTTGTAATTTTGGGACGGCGTTCAACTTCGGGGAAGAAAACTTTGAAAGATTTCATTTCTTTTATTTTGACCAAATAAAGAGACGGAAGGTAAGATCTTCAGTAAATCATTCATCCAAACTTGATTTTTGCGTATGACTTGCACTGCATCTGTAGGACATATTGATTTTTGCATATGATTTGCACTGCGTCTGCAGGACGTATTGATTTTTGCATATGATTTGCATTGCGTCTGCAGCAGGGTGTATTGATTTTTGCATATGATTTGGACTGCATCTGCAGTACATATTGATTTGTCTCATGTGTCAGCAAAATCTCTCATCATTTGGGCCGGCATTTTTTTTTCTAATTTGTTTTCTCAAAAGTTGAACCGGCGTAACTGGGATTTGAAGCGGCGTTTTCGCCAGCCGCCAGTTGTTATAGAAACCCCAGCTAGTGTATAACTGTACCAGAGTTCAAGGTAGTAATCTCGAGTATAAAAGAGGAATGAGTGAACCTTGTGGAATTGAAGTGAAAGGCCTAGTGTAGTGCTCTATAGTATAAGAGAGGAACGATTGAACCTTGTAGAACCAGAGTACAGGGTAGTACTGTATGAGTGTAAGAGAGGAATGAGTGAAACTTATAGAACCACAGTGCAAGGTTGTATTTTAAGAGTGTAAGAAAGGAACAAGTGAAACTTGTGGAGCCAGAGTGCAGTGAAGAGTGTAAGAGAGGAATGAGTGAAATTTGTATTCCAAGAGTGTAAGGTAGTGTTTAAAGTGTAAGAGAGGAATGAGTGAAACTTTTGAAATTGGAGTGCATAGTGCAATTATCAGTTGATTTGTGCTAAATGTGTACTGCTTTGCACTTAACTCTCCCCGGACGTTTTAGAGGAAAACTTCACCTATAAAGCATTAGTTGTTGTTAGGCAATAAAATACAATCTAGTATATGTAAGTAAAAGTGCTCATGTGGTGTAATGTGAAAAAGGAAGAAATCGTTAATGTATTTATTCATTTTAATTTGTTAGTAGTTCATGTATTGCATGTAAGGGATATGTTTAATTTACCGAATTTAAAAGGGAAAGATGTAGAACTTGCTGGGTCATAATGACATTTTCAAAAGTGGGGCTTGTAATAAATCTTGTCTATTATCTAGGTTTGTTTTTGGGTTATGTAGGGCAGTATTAGCTTGCAAATCTCAGAGCAGTTTAAACTTATTACAAATCATGAATGTGAAACTTTTCTATGATCGAAAAGCCATTCAAAATTCATTTATTAATTATTAAAGTGAATTTTGAAGAATATGTTTGTATCATTTATGGAAGTTGCTAATTTGAAACTTTTAAAACTAATAAATAATTTAAAATATGGTGTATGTAGGATATGGTCCAAAAAGCTGATCCTTGATTTGGGTGGTCTATAATTTTCTATAATTTAGGATATGATCTGAAACTGATAAATAATTTATTTAGGGATAAACATGGAGTTTGAAACAGATCTATACTTTAAATTATGGTGGTCCTCATCTTTGTTCATCTTGCTTATACCTCTCAGTAAGATTTTATTTTTCAATTAAAAACATTCCCACCACCATGGTGGTTGAACGTGATTTGTTAATTAAATATATCAGACCCCCACTGTTCCTTTATATGAGAATTATCTTACTTTAATTAGGCTTAGATTTATAACCTCTCAAATTATCATGGGATGATTTCTGATATAGCTGTTGAGTGAAGATTCTCTTGAAGGTGCTTAGATGAAGTGATTATAGAATGAGAATGGTATGAGATATGTAAGGGTTTCTATAATAAAGCATAGGGGTTTAAAGGTAAAATAATACAAATATGCTATGAAACATGTATTATCAAGTTGGTGCAAGTGGGGTTTCCAATGGGTGCAAACTAGAAAAGGGATTTTATCAACCAGTGGGTCTGAAATTGTTGGCTAATATACTGTAAAAACAAAATAAACTTGAAATATATAATTATGTATTAAACAGATTTATTATATCAGTCAAGAAAACATGGCAGTTTGATTACTGCCATATAAGGGGAGGCATCAAAAGTTCAATGTCTGATAGGAAACTAAATGAATATAGTTAGGGGGGAGTCAAAACCATTTCAATTTATTTCAATACATTTGCTATTTTGAATCGGAATACCTTGGAATGGTTTAAAAATAAAGATTTTACATGATGCTTTCTCATCAAAATGTATGCAATTGAATCTTATGCCTTCTGTTGTTGTCAAATGTTTTAAGAGTTTCCTATCAGACATTGAACTTTTGATGCGTCCCCTTAACGAATATGTAAGGGTTATATTAAGTTGCTTTAATTTTAATGGGATGATTTGGTCAAGTTCAGTTTCAGGTATATTTGACCCATATTGATCATGAATGCTCACATCAAGTCTAATTTTAGCTGAAGTACATGTATGAAATGTTATTGAGTTGGGGCATTTGGTTGTCTTACTGTTGTGTTGACAAACTTTTTTCTGGACTAACTTCTCCTAATGTAGTGTTAAAGAACTCAGTTACTTGACTTTCTGTCATATGAGGGTGGATACCAACATCTATGCCACTGTCTTCACACATGGTTGTCAGCCTCTCAACATTGTTCTTGGATAGTCTAAGGTAACGGCAACTCAGCATCTCGACTGGGTCAAACTTGAACTTTGTGAGCTCCTTTCTAATATCTGGTAATTGGCGGATGAGAATCTCTAGGGCAAGAAGTTTACGTTTATGTGGTGTGGCTTGGTGTTGTGCTATGCTGCCTGGCATATTATGTTGCATGTGGCTAAACATCAACAGGGCCAGCTCCTTAGGGTTCACTTTCGACAGCAGGTCATGGTATTCTTGAAGTTTTTCCTCATCAAGGGCGTGATGTTTGGGGTCTGCCCACATTGGTACAAAATTTTTATCTCCAGTTTGAGGATGATGCTTTGATTTTGAAGCATGGTCGTGTACATTCAAGACATTTTCAAACAAGGCTGAGTTCACTGAAGCATTACTTTTTGCCTGCGTGTGATCAATTTTCCTTTGAGCGTGTCTGGAACCAGATGATCCATTACTGACTAGGTCACGAAAACTAGATGGGGCTTTTTGCTTATGATGTGATTTAGTTTTGTGTGTAACATTTTCCTTGTGAATTGCTGCGATGGTGGAGTTGTCATGGTCATGTACCAACGACCCCCTTCTATGGTAGTGGTGATGATCATGTGGTACTTGTAATGATGCCCTACGACTACGATCATTGATTTTTGCATCAGATAAAGCTGGAAACCTGGTATGATGAGATGATTTTTTCGCATGTTCATGATCAACAAGTCGTCCATGTGACATATGCAATTGACGTAAGTCTTTATCAGATCTGTGCTTCTTTTTTTGATCTTGCAGGAGCTTTTGCTGTTCTATCTTCAGTCTGTTAATTGCTGCATCATGTACCTTTGTTGCGATTGGTTCCTTAGGATGGAATGAATGACTACGTTGGTCACGATTATGCCTCACGTGAGCGCCAGAATACTCGCTCCTTGTAACATTTGTTATCGCGGGAATTTGACCAGTATATACTTTCGTCTGATTAGATTTAGGTTCATTTCTAACCTTGATCTTCTGTTTTTCTCTCTCAAATGCGTCAAGTTGTTTTTGGACTTCTTGCTTTTCTTTTTTGTAACTAAATGCTTGAATATCCCGTTCCTTTTCAAGTGCCTTTTCAACAATTTTTAGTTTGTCTAATTCTTTTTTATTGTTACATTTTACTTTTGTTGAATTCCAGTGGTTTGTATCAACGGAAGGATTATAATCCACTTTTCTCTCTATCTTCCCATCCATTTGTCGTGCTTTTACATTATATTAGTTCTATATTACATTTTGTTAATTTTTGTTTGTTGTTACACTATATTTTTGTCACATAGCAACCTTTGATGAGGTCATAGTTGCAATATTTCTCAAAATATATTCTTGTAAATGAGGATCAATGCTATTGTTGATGACATCACATAATTTTTTTGTATAGTGTGGCATCATCAGGAACATCACCATGGTAATAAGTGAATATGTTTTCAAAACACAGGATCATAACCAAAGCATGTATGACATTTTATGAGCATCACCATGGTAACTATTGTATACACTTGTGAATGACAAAAGTAGTCATTAGTATATTGTGACATCACTCAGATTTAACTTCAACAAGTTATAAACTCCAGGGGCAATGATGCTTAAATATAATTAAGGAATAAATAATGATAGGCCATTCAATATGGTGAAATTCAGCACGAGTTGGACAGAATGTTGTACAAAGCACGAACCGAAGGTGAGTGCATTTGTACTAACATTTTGTCCAACGAGTGCTGAATTTCACCATATTGAATGGCCTATCATTATTTATTCCGATTCAAACATAAAAATTAGTAAAAGCCGTGTCTGTGGAACGGGCATGAAGGAAGAATACGCATGCTGTCAAGATTCTGAAGTCGGCCGGAAAAATTTTAGAATTTGTTTGGGCTGTTCTATTTTACTCCCCGTTTTAGATTTTATACGGTGTATGCAAACAGTAGTTAAATAGTTACAGTAGTTACGGAGGGAGTAAAAAAGAACAGCTATCCCCGGACAGAGCCCCAGATGTGCAGCTGAGATGTGACGTCACTCAAAACAATGCAAATTGCAGATTGAATAGAGCATGGTCGTGCATCTATGGAGAATTAGAGAACGTTCTATATTGGCTATGCTGCATTCTAATTGGTTGAGAAATTCGAATAGAGCACGGTCATGTTTGAATCAATATTAACTGATATGGTTTTATTATCACATAGTTTGACTGAACATTACTTAAATCATTAAAAATGTTCTCACTCATATTTCAGAAAAAAGAGAAGAGATATGATGTAAAAATGGAGAGCAGTTGACGTCCAACGATGTTTCTAGGACAACAGTCTCTAGGGAGGGGTGAGTATTAATTCAAATCATAACTTCCATTTCTTTCTTGTGTTGTTTATATTTTATTGTTGATGATTTGTGTATATGAACAATGGCACATATTATCCATGCAAAGTATTGTTGGTCATTTTTTTCATTGGTCTCTCTGTTATGTTCACTGATAAGGCTTGACTGAAAATAAATGGCATTTAAAAAAGGCCCACGATATACCTGTGAATCATAAAGGCTTTGGACAATGATGTATTAAACATTGTGTGAGACATCTCTAAAATTATCCAATAGGTCAAGGGACGTAGCTAGGATCTAAAATTTGGTGTGGCAAGTTTTATTTGACCAGACAAATTCTAGTTAACAGTGAAATAGCACTACTGTACCTTCTGACTTATTTTCAAAATTTCAATTTGAAAAAACATGTCAGTTGAATTTATATTTCATGAGAAGCAGGTACCAGCCAATTTTCTCTGTTTGCATTTTCAAAATTGCTTTGTTTTGAGGAAATTTTTATTGTTTTAATGTTAGAATTATTCTAAAATTGCAACTCTTGTATTCATCCCATTTTTCCTGTTGTCTGACATTTTCTCAAACCCCTTCATAGTTAGCAAAAGCTTTCATTTTCAAATAAGAGCTGATCGTTTAATCAATTGTGCACTTGATTACCTCAGTTCTTTTGAATATTAAAATTCAGTAAAAAGTAAGTATATTTCAATACAGTGCAAGTTATTGTTGCATATTTGCCTGAGGCGTCTGTTGACTTCACACATTGCGGAAGTAGTTTGAGACTTATTTTACTATGGGTTAAAGGTTGCCTTTGATATACTATAAATGCTAGGTTTTAGCTTTTAAATCTTAGAATTGAATTGAGCTACAAAAAATGAATTAAGGAAATAAATTAAAAGAATTAAAGGATTTAAAGAAAAAGTCTTGTTTCAACCCTTTTTAACCCTACAACCCATCTCAAATCACATAGATAGGGCAACGGTGGGGGTCCTTGATGCAAGACTAGTAAAGTAAGAAGACAAGTGAACCAATGGACAAAAATATTCATCAGTGTTTTAAAGCTGTTTCTTCTTTACTATGGGCTTTCAATAGAATGCCCATAGTATTATGGTTTTAACAAGCAGCTTTATGTATGAACATAGAAAGATTGATTTTCTCTTTCTCTACATTCAGACCATTGATTTGTTTTTTGTTCTCCCACAAGGTGTGTCAACAATAAAATCTAACCTTATGCTTCTGTGTATATAGCGCAGTCATATGTTCATTCAACCTTTTATTTGAAAGTGGTAGGTGGCGTGTAGCAAAATCTACCTACTGTTTCCACATAATGTGAAGTATATGTATAGATGGAGCCACTTAAGTATATTGTGTGTTTTCGCTACCAAGAGTAAAGTAAAATAGAATTACAGATACACTTACATACACATTGATTGAAATGAATTCTTTATTCAAGTATAGATGTCAGTAAAATCAGTTAAGTTATCAAGCATTTATACTTTTACTAACTATACAATACTATAATTCTGATATCATTTAGGCAGATAGCTCAGTATGATGACTTATTCTTTTGGATACACTCGTATTTTGGTGCTGAATTGACTGAGGTTTAAGTTTTGAGTCCATTATATCAACAAACCCTTCTACCTCCGTGGAACATAATCCATTATATGGGGGGAGAGGGGGGGGGGCTGAGACTCGATGCATTTTACTCTTATTATACCTGGTGCCAAATGTGAAAGAAAAAAACTTTATCAATGAAAGGGCATTTATTTGTAATTTCTTTCAAAATGTTACCAAAAATCAATTGTAAAAGTTGTTTGCAATTCTGTCCAGCAATTGACCTTGCTTTACACAAGTTGACCTTGCACTGAATTGACTTTTATATCACAAGGAGGACCTCACATTAGCGCTAAAATGATCTTTGTATTGGCGTAATTTGACATTGGAAGTTGAAAAAAGATAGACTTCTAACCTAGTTCCAAGGTCAGATATTCTCTAAAGTAAAAAACAGGCTGGTCATGGAATTCCTCTCTAGAATGGTCTAAAAGAGGAGAAATTAGTGAGGAATGGTCTGACTAGGAATGTGCTCACTGTTGAAATATAGAAAAATCATAAATTGGACACTTTGCTTTTTTATTTGTTAAAAAAGGAATGGAATTGCTGTGGTTGGAGTATGTGAACATTTGTAGGGGTTGAGTTCACTTATCAAAAGTGTTTAAAAATAAAGAGATAGAAGATTCAATTAAGTGTTCTCAGGTGTGTAGGGTATGCCTATATTACCCAGAATACTTTGGGTTCCAATTTTACCCATAGTTCCTAGAGAAATCTGATGCTTATTACTGACCCTCTTAGAACATCAAGATGCAATGTGGCAGCTTGAAATTAACCCATAAAATCTTAAGAATCTTCAAATATAGCCAACATATATCTTACAAGCTTTAAATTATAATAAACAAAATCTGATTTCTAAAATAAGCATCTAAAAATACTTTTTCGATAAGCACATCTCAGATATCTTCATAAAATAGTTCATAGGGTTCAAAAATAGAGTTACCTCAGGTTTAAGGCTTGTTTCCTGCTGATTGACTTGTATTTTGTCAATAAACCTGTTGACTTGTAGATCTCATTTGTAAGCCACTCAGATAAATGTTTCCACTTATACCTGGCATTTTGTGGTTTTCTTTTGGTTGTTTATATGTGTGGTACAGTTTTTTTGTGTTTTGGTATGGAGTGGAAACTTCATGTACAGTATCACCCTTAAGTTATTTATTTGTTATGTCACCAACACAAGTGGTGAAATATTGTTGGTGACAAACTTATTTGTGGATGCTGTTTGGTATTTGGTGGTCAGTGGTTGGTGTTTGGCATGTGTAACAAATGACAGGTGGTGGCATTTTGCATTTTGATGCATTGTATTTATACACTGTTAAGATATAAAAAATGGGAAATTTCATTTAGTGGCATTTTGATACAGGAAGCTTGCGTAACTTTCTAAATGTTCATGTTCGTTTTAAACTAGAATTAGTTATTTTTGTATGTCTATACCGTTACTTCTGAGTTTGAAATATTTCATTTTATTACATGAAAAAGAAATAAACCTTCAAAATAAATTGTTATAGTCTCCAACGTTCTTGTGACGGTGTCGAGCATGTGGCATCTGTAGCAAATGGTATGTGGTGACATTTTGTATGTTAGTGCCTTGTTAAAACTTGCAATGTTTAATTCCTAATTTTATATAAATACAAGCTCATGCCATGATCTCACTCTGCCTCTTATGTAATCTTAAGTACATTTGATAATTTATTTGAAAAATTGCTTCTAAAGTAGTACTGTCTGCTCTTTTAGCTATTTTGGAACAATATAAACATCTTTCTGCTTTTGGGGCAATATGAACTGTTAAGTGTTTATTGACAGATATTATCTCTGAAGCATTGACGCTCAGATCTAAAAAGGTTCTTGGAGGTTAAAAATTATTTTACAAAATACGCTTGTTAGCAGTTAATAGTATCTCAAATTTTTCGTAAATCCAAATGATATACTTTGTGTCACTTTGATATTTTTTGATAGCCAAATGAATTTAAATTAAATAAAAGAATCATTGAAAAACTACATCTTATTACAATTATTACTCAGCCTCTTCAGAGCTCATAGACGAAGCTCTCTTTAAGAGGGAACATAAAACTAGTGAAAGGGTATTTGTAGATGATGTTCACCCCATGAGGTTCAACAGCTGATTCTTTTTAACTTGTCATTCTTTTTATTTTTGAAAATGTCAATGTTAAATCAAGGTTATATTTAGAGTGCCTTAGCTTTGCCATGTACCAGTTTTGCCCCCCCCCACCTACCTACCACCTTACCGTCTCTCGGATTAGCTGTGAAAGTAATACGCTGGGGTTAGTAAGGGAAGGGGGAGTGGTGAATAGATTTAGTACAATGATGGCTAATTTCTGCAATCTCATCATATTTAACAAAAAAACTATATGGATAGTTTGTTACTTTTTTCACTATATGAACTATTAGATCAAGGTGCTTCATCAAAAGATGTGTTGAAATTTCCTGTATTTAAAATTTCACATTTTTCCATGTTTCTGATGTATTTTTTAGAAAAATAAGTGAAATGGAAAGGAGTGATGTGAATTGATATTAAGCTATTTTTCTTTTATTGCATATACACGCAAGAACGCAAGATATTTCATCACAATTTTAGAGAAAAAATATGGAATCTCCATGACCATGTTGAAGTTTTATATATTTGGTTAGATATATAGGATAATTAATGATGTGGTTATAAGATTTTTTATCGTTGTTCTTTTGATCTAAACTTGAATAGAAATAGAGAAGCTCTGTTGATTTTGAACCACCTAAATTTATATTTTTGAGATCTTAAACTCTAATAGGACTATCCACCAAAATATGTTGTTCTCGTTGAAAGTTTTGTGTAAATTAAAGCCTAGTTTTTGCTTTTTCTTGACATGTTATATTGCTGGAGTATCCTGTGCATATTTTTCAAGCAGTTAGTAGATATAAAGAAAATTAGAGAAATTAGCAAGGAATAAAATAACTAGGGGTCAAGGAGACACATTAAATTCTGTGGAAATGTCAGAATATTTTATACTTCTGCATCAATTGGAAAGTTTTTCAAAGGAGAGCTTAATGAAGAAACGAATGGTTTTTAGCCAAGATGTTAAATGAGAGCGGTTGTTTTGATGAGTATGGAGATACTGAGCCCCAGATCTTAGGCCAACTCTGCAAAACTTACCTACAAGCATAAAGCTCACAGTAGGGGTGGACATTTCGTATTTTCGCTAATCTTGAATCTGATATCTTACGTGTAAATCAACATTTCACCTCTGAGTTCTGACTTCACCTGGTTGATTTGTATCATATTATTCACTGAGTGGAATCCAGTCCAGAAATTCATACTACGTTGGATCAAATTCAACTATGGGATGAATCGAGTCATGTAATTTGTACAAAACTTGGATAATTATACGGAAATCCTGAAGACGATT